CATGACTTTATCAACGTTCCCTAAGACCCTCAAAACAATCACGAATTTCCTGTAGCCCCCAAAACCTTCCCCACGTGACTCGACGTGCGAAAACAATAAAATTTTCCCAAAATACCCTCAAGCAGCAGATACTCTATCATTCCTTCATCGGAGAGTGAACAGTATGTAGCATTAAATGGTGATTAGAATGCAGTTTTGGAGGGGAAAATCCCCATTTCCCTCCAAATTATTACAATTTCCTTTCCTCCCCCACAGTAAATCCATCTCCTCCCCATTTGCTTACCCCAACTACTCTCTCCGACCACTTAATTCCCTCAATAAATCCTCTTCATTTTTTCAACTATTCTTTAAAATGATGGATGGATCCCTTTTTTGCATGGTTACAAACACAAAAAGCAACAAAGAGGGTGAGGGTGTTTTCGTAGTTATCAATGAGTCTACAGAAATCATTAGGGTGAAATATGAAGTGTCCCAAAGGCTTAAACTACCATTGCAGTCTCTTTCACTAAAATTCATATCTGAAAGGGAAAAGAAGTTTAGTTTTGCAATTGATAATGATGATGACTTGCGGTTGATGTTCGAGTATTGTCGTCATAATAGATTTACTGACATAAATTTGTATGCTACCTCCGCTGGGGAATCCTCAACTTCTCAGAACTCCCAAACTTCTCCAGAAAATGTGTAAGCATTTCACTTTTAATTTCTGTATGTGTTCATTGATAGGTTATGAGTTGGTTGTTAATCTTATGTATTTGTTACTGAGGTTATGAGTTGGTTGTTAATGTTATGAGTTGGCTGTCAACCTTTATGCGATAGTTTTAAGTTGGTTGCTAAGGTTATGAGTTCGTTGTTACGTTTACGAGTTGGTTGCTAAGGTGATGAAGTTGTTGTTAAGGTTACGAGTTTGTTGCTAAGGTTATGTGTTTATTGTTATGGTTACGAGTTTGTTGTTAATGTTACGAGTTTGTTGCTAAGGTTACGTGTTTGTTTCTAAGGTTATGAGTTTGTTGTTAAGGTTACGAGTTTTGTTGTTAAGGTTATGAAAATGTGTAAATATTAATATTTTTTTCACATTTACATGACTATCCCAACAAAAAACTCGCAATGCGCAGCAACTATGCTCACCCTAACATGTAATGATGGAGCGTATTACTAATGATAATCCTAATGGCG